AATAAATGTAACATTAAAAAATTTGGCTCCATTACAACTCACAAGATTCACTTACAAAACAACTGTCTTATACTAAACACGTTTTCCAAACAAATACATCATGCTAACGTTATTAGCACAAGCTGATGGCATTTTACATTGTATAAATTAGCCTAGCGATGAGTGAAAATTTCCTCTGCTCATATGAAGCCAGGATAAATCACACACAAGACTTAAAATGCAATTTTTGTGGATGTCATAACCAAGAAACGTTGTTAATTTAATCAGTTTGTCTTGTGTCTATGTTGTCTCGTGATTTCCTGTTTTATTTTGAAAGTTAACTCTCCTCTCGTTTCAGGCAACTTGCTCCTTCCCGTGTGTTTTCTCGCTGGTCTGATTGTCTGCCTCGCCCCTGATTGTTTCCACCTGTGCCCTTACCCTGTGTGTATATATTGTCTGTGTCTCCCTTTGTCCTGTGCCAGTTCGTCTTGTCCTTCGTGTCAGAAAACCAGCGCCGTATCCATGCCATTATGCCATTGCCATTGCCAGGTCTTGTTCTTTTGATACTTTGTTCATGTTGATTTTCTGTTTGTTTTTTTCATAGTGATAGTTCAGCCTCAGTAGAGTGATTTTCTGTTTGTTTCTTAGTCTAGCGTTTATTTCCTAGATAATTTTTTGTTCTTAGATTTAGTGCAGGTTTTTCCTCTTTTGAGAGTGATTTTCATTTTATGTTAAATAAACTTTGATTGTGTACTTTGCCTCTCGAGTCGTGCATTTGGGTTCAGGTCCTTGTTCGGTCGTGACAGTGGAGTCTTTATCATCTTCACAATTTGTTTCTTATCTCTGAAATAAAAGTAAATAAAAGCTTTGTTTCCTCTGAGGGAAATGGTTTCAGCTTACAAAAATAGACAGTAGGTCTGCGTCGCCACAACATGCAGTTAATCGTAAGTGCTATATCATAGGCAACTGGACTTGCTTGCGTTTCTTGAAGACGTTTCGCCTCTCATCCAAGAAGCTTCTTCAGTTCTAAATGACTGGTACGATGACTGGTAGCCTGCAACTTTGTACCAGTCATTTAAAACTGAAGAAGCTTCTTGGATGAGAGGCGAAACGTCTTCAAGAAACGCAAGCAAGTCCAGTTGCCTACGATATAGGGCTGCCACTAACGATTATTTTCATTGTTGACTAATCTGTCGATTATTTCTTTGATTTGTCTACTAATTATTTTATCGAAAAATGTGTTAAAATGTTGAAAAATGTCGGTCTGTCTCGCCCAAACCCCAAAATTACGTCATCTAATGTCTTGTTTCGTACTCACGCCGAAGGGTTTTAGTTCACCGTAATGGGAGAGTGTGTAAAGCTGCCAATATCTGAACTTAAGAAGCTGCAATAAGAGTATTTTGGGATACTTTTATAGTACTTTACTATGAAAAATGACTGGATCCGATTAGTCGACTACTAAAATAGTCACCGATTATTTTAATAGTCGATTAGTCGTCGATTAGTTGACTAATTGTAGCAGCCCTACTACAATATTACACTTACGATTACCATGACCTGGATGACTAAGAATCTTCACCGACAACGTGTAGTTAAGATTTCTTGGGAGGTGCACGTAGGCTCTGCGTTGACATGGAGCCTACGCCGTAGTAACAGCGTCGTTTCAAGAAGCATAAATTCCACCTTGGACGTGAGAAATGTGCCTGGACTTCCCTGGGTGAGTGTGACCTCTCCTATCTGGGGGGTGTGTGTGGTTGACTCACCACCAGGCCACCATTCTTACTCCTCGCAGCCAGCTTGTTCAGATTGGAGGACTGTGTGAATGTGTATTTACATTGATAATTCATGGTGTCAAATGCTTCCTCAGTCTCTTTTGTCTTCAAAGTGTCTTGCCTCTGGTGTCTCCCTCTTGGCGTGCCCGCTCAACTCAAAGGCTTCTCCTGCTCTCCCAATACGTGTGGCTAATAACAGCTATTGAGTCATTACCACCAACCCTCAATATTCAGATACACACTGAATGAAGCAATTTAATGTTACAAACCTGCGTTTCTTCTACGCCAGGGGTGTCAAACTCATTCAGGTTAATGGACCACACACCAGTACAACCATTGCATAATGTCCGATAAATGACAAACACCCCCAAATGTTTTCTTGTTTTTGGTTCAAAGGCTTACATTTTAAAATCACTTGCATCTACAAAACAGATGACGCAGCCTGTAATATCTTCAGGATGATAAATTTCAACAATATGTCTGTTTTCCCAGATTCAGTCATTCTACTACTCAAAGTCATTACATGTACATTTTTCTATGCTTTTCCTCTCCTTCCACACCAAACTAAAGCAGAAGCATACAGGAAGCAGGTGAAGTTATCCCCTGCCTTACAAACCACTTACAAATAAAAAGTTTTGGCTTAGCAACAGGGTCCCACCAATATTGTTTAAAGATAGAGGTCTGATACAGATTCTTTTTTACTGAAACTGCTGATTGAGAATATTTTGCTCTTTGTATCTACCCTGGAAATCCTGAGCTCTCGCGAGAGCACAATTTGAATTTGCTCACTCTGCACCAATCACATCGGTGTATCTGATATAGGCGGGCCAGAGGCGAGCTAAACAGATGACGACAGCGCTGCAACGACGAAGTCCAGAATCAGTCAGTAAACATTGCAAGATGGCTACGGATGAACACCAGTTGTTTGAAATGGCTTTGGCCACTACAATGAACGAGTTAGACTTGGCTTTTTCTCTAAAAGAGGAACAGAAGACGGCGCTCGAATCTTTCCTTTGCAAGAAGGAATCAAATGCATGCTTGGTGCCGCCCCTCGAGTTGCGCCATTTGCATTACTCATAGCCAGACCCTAAATCTTTCTAGATTTGGGTCTGGATTTCCAGGCTACTTTGTATCACTATTAGGTGTGCAAAGTCATCCAGTGGGCCCGATTAGATCCTTTGGTGACCCAGTGCTGGCCCCGGGGCCGTATGTTTGACACCCTGTCCTACGCTGTTCGGCATGTTGCAGACATGCCACTAGCCCAGCACCTGCTAATGTGGGCTCACCTTTTTTCCCCTGATAACTGAACTGACCCTTCGCTAAGTCCCGCCCCAGGATGCAGACTGGCCAATCATAACGTAGCATTGGGCCAGCTCAGTCCAGGGTCTGACAGCAACACAGCTGTGCTCCATTGACTCTATTGCAGTCGTTTCAGGCTGGTTTTGTGGATTTGGAGCTAAATGTTGTGCCTGGGGCATGTCGTGTATTAATGATACTTGTTACCTGGAGAGGTTGGAAAAAGATATATGTTTGTTCCCTGTTCCAAAACCAAACACAAACCCTTAAAAGTGTCGGGTTAGCTAGCTAGCTACTGAAGATATAGCCTACTGAATGTATACACATGCTGGGCTCCGTGCTTACTCCGAGAGATTGTCGGACCATTGTGAAAGGTCAATTATGTAGTAATCTCTACATCTCCAAAACAAGTATAAACACATAATGAAGTAGTTTCACATTAAAAAAATCTGGGGTTTTTCAATGCTGCTCATCGCTTATTACAGTGGCCAATGGGAAAACATGAAAATGTGAATGGCCCTATCTGGAGCCAGTTTTTGGTTTGTCCATTCTGGGCTGCTGTAGAAACATGGCGGTGCAACATGGCAATCGCTATGGACTAGGACCTACTCCCTTTGTAAATATGAATGGCTCATTCTAGGATATTAGAAACACAGCAACTCTTATTTTTAGGTGATTATACACTAAAGAAACCATAATTATTATATTACATTCAATTTCTGCCACTATTTCCATCTAAATCATACACACTGCACCTTGTAAAGACACTTCCACCATAAAATGATGCAGAAAAGGTCAAAACTGATGCAAAAAATTCAGAAGAATGCAGTGTTTGATGTTCAAAATTTCCTGGGGGAGGACCCCAACCCCCCTGATTCATATGTTGAAAACAAAACCTACGCCCATGGTATAAGATATTAATGTACTATCTATTAGTGACAGCACTGATAGAACAGAAGACTGTGAATAGTCACAGCATGACTCACGATTTGTTTTCCACTTCTATTCATGCGTTTCAATCAGCTTGATTACTTTACATGGTAACTGTTGTTGCTTTGCGCTAGTGTACAGGTTTGCAGGACGCAAATGGGCACCTGTTGCCATCTCAACATTTAACTGGAAGATACCAAACCAGCTTTTAACAAACTTAGAAAACTGAGTCTTATTCCCCATTAAGTCACTTTGTCCTTCAGCATAGCGAAGGCCGGATGAGTGAACTTATTTCTAGGACACTGCAAAATAAAAATGCTCAAAATAGTATTTTGAAAGGAAAGTGATTAATCTGTGTCTCTTGTAACAGGCATGTTGTCTCCTCCTTTCCTCCAGTTATTCTGCGTGGTTCACCCTTGCATAATATCCCTTTAATAAAATCTATACGCCCATAGCAAACAGACAGCTGTATGTGTAGGGCATTTAACACATGAAAGGAGCCTTTCCTTTTATGAAGCACCGTGTGTGTGTGTGTGTGTGTGTCTGTGTGTGTGTGTGTGTGCATCCCTTCCATTTGAGGTATATATTAGGCCTATTGATGACTTAACTAATAAGTCAGGTATTCCTAATAAAGTTTCCTCACAGGGATACCACAAGAATGGCTGAAATATTTATTTGAACCCTTCAGCAGCTTTACCCCTCTTGAAAGGATGTCAGTGTCAGCATTAAGATGTCAATGTTTAAAGCCGACCTTTGGGGGGGGGTTAGAGGCGCCATTGGCACGAATCCACTATTGACCCGCGGTTGCTTTTATTAGTGTATATAAAGCGACATGCTATAATTGCAAACCAACCAGGAGGAAGAAGCAGAAGGAGGAGGGCAGCAAGTTAACTCGTACACTAATGCTTCACCTGTTGTGGTGGTGACGTGAGCCGCACCATTGATTAAAAAAAAAAAAAGAGAGAGCGAGCGTGTGGGTGGCCTTTACCATACACACAAACACACACTCCTCCCCATCCAGAAAGGAGCAGGAGACCCCTTAGCTCGATTGCACCCTGAGGCCTTGAGACACCACACTTCTTGCGTCTATAAAAAGAGCTTTCCTCCTCGAAGGAAGCAACAGCAGACCCTCTCCTACTGAGCGCCTCATCACAGAGCAGAGAGAAAGCAGAGGAGAAGGAGAGACAGTTAGGAGTCGCCACTCTGGGAGATTTGTGGACAAACGCAGGGAGAAGCACAAGACTAGAAGAAAAGGACACTGTTGGAAAAGGTAAAAAAAAAAACTTGTTTGTTGAATCTTGTTTTTGCATGTGTCTGACTGTTGTTAGCTTTTTGTTTTTCTGAACAAATAAGTACCATTGCATCGATTCAGTCACTGATTAATTATGGATTTTATGACGCCAACATGTACAGCCGCATTTGCTCTGTAAATTATAATTAAAGAGGATTTAAATTTCATAGTAACACCTCAGCTTTTTAAAGAACATTCCCAGTTGTCTCAGGCAACATTTGAACTGCTTTCCATTAACACAAACCTCCACAAATACAAATCTAACTTACAGACCCCTTAAATAACTCCATACATTTATAACACGTAAGGTTTACATCTATTTTGATCGCAGCTCTCGGGCTTCTTTTATCAGAGTATGTCTGTGGAGAGCAGAGCTCAGCTGAGTGAGTCATACTGTAGGAAGAGTGGAGAGTCTCTGCCAGAGTTACAAAGACGATGGCCCACCAAGGAGTCACAGCATAATAGATAAGGGAGAGAGAAACAACAAGATGTAATTTCCCCTACAAGGGAAAGAAAATAAACTCACTGCACCAAGACAAGAAAAGACATTAAAAGTAGGATGGACAGGCATCAATTGGCCAGTGCTTAATCTTAAAGGGTTTTTTTTCTGTTAACTGACATCCACAAAATAAACTCCATATTTCTGATTAAATGGTTCAGAGAGAGACAACAGGAAGAGAAGTGATCATAAACAGAAGAGAGCTAAAGCAAGGCATTTGCCTGGTGAGGATGCGTCATAAGGGAAATCATCCAGTCATGTCATCTATTGAAAGAATTTGTACACCACTTGAGAATGAATAGCCTATATTGCATCTGAAGTGTGTGTGTGTGTGTCCATATGAATGCAGCCTCCTACAATATCTCTGTGTCCTTGCATGTACAGCATTTGTATATGTGCATTGATCATTATCCTTGAACAGGCACAAAAGGTAACGTTTGCTGGCCCCTTATCTCACGAAGCGACTTTAAAGGGACAGTACACCTCAAAATGAAAAATACATATTTTCCCTCTTACCTGTAGTGCTTATTCATCAGTATAGATTTTTCTGGTGTGAGTTGCCGAGTGTTGGAGATATAAACCATAGAGACGTCTGCCTTCTCTTGAATGTAATGGAACTAGATGGCACTCGGCTTGTGGTGCTACATTTGAAAAATTCCAGCATCTCTTTCCAGAAATCATGACCTGGGGTCTCATTTATAACCGGTTAGTACTTTTGTATTGTGTAGATTAAATGATGACCAACTCTCAGTCACTGTTCGGCTTGGACCCACATTTATTTCGGCACTGGTGAATAGAAAACAAGAAAATCAGCCTCCGCAGCCAGCTCTCATTAAAAAAAAAAAAAAATCTGTAGTAACATACATCAGAACAAACAACAAAATAAGACTGTATATGACATGATAACGACGCAGGTTAACAATAGATTAAAATCAGTGCACCTTCCATAATGACAGGAAGACAGCTTGTAATGGTACGTGGCATCACCAACTTCTTAACTCCGTTACACGTATGCACAAAACGAGGCCTGAAAGAGGCTTACGCTACTTCCTACGCAAAAGTTGTGATCTATAAAAACAGACTTGATGGGAGAAGCTTTGACCCATGCTTACAACATTCTGGAGACAGGAAATAGGTGACGCAGATGGTGAGGTGGAATATTTTTTGGTTCACGCCATTTTTTGCTTTTGTTTGTACGTAAATTTTTAGCATGGATCCCACGCATTGTTTATAAATAAGACCCCTGATTACTCAACATAATCCACAGACCTTTCTGTTAGCAGTTTCATGTAGGAGCGGTTTTCTTTCTACCGAACTACACCCAACTGTATCACCACGCAGAAGGTAATGTGCATCTACTGCTAGCTCACTTAGCATCACAGAGCTAGCTAACATTACAGCTCACCCAAGCGGGACACCATTAATGTTTACATCTCGTGTTGTTATGAGCCAACCCTGTCACCTTTGTATGTTACTTAACCGCTCTTGTAATTATGTTGTGGCAATGTAATCATTGCCTGGATTATGTTAGGAGACAGCATTTCTTTCAGGTATCAAAACACTACATTTATGTACTGCATAAGATTTGGGGAGGAAGGCAGGCATATGAAGTGCAGGACCTTGGCACCAGAACTTCCGGTTCGTGTCAAGCTTCCTGCCTTAGCAGCACAGTCTAGTCGTTGAAATCCAGCACTTGGGCAGTGACTTGCGGCGTAAGAAACCAATGAAAAAAGGTGTCCTATAACATCGGCAGGATATGTGACCGGTTGCCATTAGAGTTTAACGGCAAATCAGGGGGAAATGCGGTGCGACAAGGATGAAAGCTAGGTTGGCAAAAGTCCAAATGGGCGGCCGGAAGGGGTGATGGATGGGGCCAACAAACACTGACCTTCACCCAAGAGAGCGTGTTCACATCCTGTAAGATTATAAAGCCAAACCCTATTCTTTTTTTCCCAAAAAAATAAAAGCCACGTGTGTTAGTTGTTGAAGGAAAAAAAATGTCAATATGCGGTGTTGTACCAATGTAGTGCGTTTATTTTGAAAGAGACTGTATATAACCGTTGAATTTCCAAGGGAAACGGAAGTGTATCTTGAAAGAAGAGACTTGACCTAGTGTCCCAGAATGTCAACAACCAACGCATCCAGGGTACCTTGCATGTCATATGAGGATGTGGAAAACCCATGACCAAAAAGTCAATATGTGACAAAGTCGGCGTGAGAATGTGTTGGGAATACTGGTGCTTGGGCAGTGACTAGGGATGTCCCGATCCGATATTCGGATCGGTATCGGCCGCCGATATTAGCAAAAAACGGGCATCGGCATCGGATCGGACTGCATGGAAAAATGCCGATCCATGAACTCCGATCCAGTTTTTCACGGACTCCGTGCCAGGTTTTCCGGCCAGCCCAGCGCTCCGCGATTCAAGCAGTCCATTCCAGTGATCCGCTCCAGCTCATACTATCAATCCACCAGGCCAGCATGTAGACGGCAGATACACAGAGGGTAGGAAGAGTAGCGGTCAATTTAGTTAACTGACTATTTGTTTTCTGCTCTGTTTTTTTGAGAGTGATATTTTTATTTGGTTTACACTCTTACTGTTTAAGTAAAGAGCACTGATGGCATTGTTTTGGGCACAATTAATGAAATTGGAGCCATGGTTTCACATTACTGGTATTTAAATGTAATCTCTAGGAGACAGGTTTGGAGCACGAGCCTCTCATCTATGTGAAGCATGCTTTCTAGCGCTAAATATTGCAGTATATACGAGGAAATAAAGCCATATGTGCCCTTGAGCAGCAATAAAGGGATGGTTATATTTGTTTGTTGTTTATGGTTCTTCATCTCCAGCAGGGCTACTACATTAACTTCCCAAGTACTTGGAAAAACTATATGAACAATTTGGGGATTGTATGGAAATCATTGCAGTGTGGAACAGAGGCTGAAACTTTTGTGTGACCTTTCAAAATAGCCAGCCCCCACCCAGCGCCAGTAATATTTGCCTTGGGACTTTCCCTTGATCAGAAAGAAAAAATCCCTGCAACATCCTTCAGCGTGATGTCTAAACTAAGCCCCAGTTATTTCAGATTTAATGTGATAAGATTAGATAAGACAGAACTTTATTTATCCCAAGGGAAATTGTTGTTGAGCAGTTGCATTACAAATATTGAAGAGTGCAGATATAAAAAGACAAAAATGACATGATAGACGGTGCATCAATAAAAGTGCTAGAGTGCAAAAAAAGTGCAGCCCAATATATACAACATACACAAAGCCAAAAACAGGTTGCTAGTGTGGATGATGAATATAGTAGGGTGTGTTTGTTAATAGAATGATAATACACAGTCCACACTGCACATAATAAGTGGAACAGTGTGTCCTGTTTACCGAATATTCCACTGCTTTAAATTTTTGAACTATGAGCAACAAAAGGAACGGATATCACTACTGACATCAAAGTTTTTCAGCACTGCAGTACTTCACAGTACACTTTGTCCACAAGCAGGTCAGCCTGGGTTTGATTTTGAATTTGCATGTTTGGGTTAAAGTTATGATCCTTAAGATCCCAGACTAGCTGCTTCATCTGAAATGCAGCCAAACAAACTCACATTGTTTCAATAAAGGAGACAGTCAATCTTCTTTTTCCCGTCATGCCATGACTACTGATTTGATTTCATGCCACTGACAATCCTGAGTAGTTTTCCAGACAACAGCTCAGTGGCTTTTTTCCCTTTTTTTTTGGCTACTCACTAACAGAAAAATGCTGGAAATTTCTTTTGCAGATGCATGTTTGATGTTTGATGAATGATTGTAGTTATCCCAAAACCACAGTGGCAAATACAGTACACTGTGTGTGGCTGCTTCTCAGTAAAGCCCCCCCCCCCCCCCCCCCCCCCCCCCCCCCCCCCCCCCCCCCCCCCCCCCCCCCCCCCCCCATGTTTTACCATAAGGAAGAATGATCTTAATGTAAAGCAGCAGCTGTGCACGAGGCAACAAGTGAAGGAGCTAAATACAGTCCGGGAAGAAAGCAATAGTTCAGTGATTTATTGAAAAATCACGGGTAGCAAGTCCAAACGGCAGCAACAGAAAATCCACAAGTGAACAGGGATGGGGAAGAAGAGAAGGTGCAGGCAAGTACAGGTTGAACTCGCTGGAGAGCAGGCGTCACAACACAGTTTTTACAATCCGGCAGGAAATGAGTTGACATGGGCTGGTTATTAGCCCCTCAGGGACTTTGCAGGTTTTATTGGGATTTTTGTGGCCTAAAATGTCTAATTTCATGGCACCTTTTCCAAGTAATTGCAATGAACGGTTGTTTTATTTGCAAGATAAAAGTTAAGTGACACCAGGGCGTCCTCTAGTTTGCCTGGTAGCACATACTTCCCATGTAGTCCTCGCAGTGACCCGGGTTTTATTCCAACCTGTGGCTCTTTGCTACGTGTCATTCCTCTTCTCCTTCCCCCTTTCCTCTCATTGTCCAAC